ACTCCCGCCCGTACCCGCGGCCGAGTTTCGACTTTCCCGGGAGCCCTCTGCCGATTCCCGGCCTCGGGCGGGCGGGGGGCCGGGCAGGCAGCCCCCGGGCTTCAAGAGCCGTGGGGACCTGCCGTGGGAACCGCGCGGGCCGCCAAAAGGTTGGTTCTGTTGCTTGGTTCCCTCACACAGCGCGGAAGTCAACACCCCGGCCCAAAAGGCAAAGGAGAGGCTCCCTCCCCCCGCAAACATCCCCGATAAAACCCCAAGAATCGCAAGATGTGTTACCCGCTTTCAGGGCGTGAGGTGAGCCGGAGGAAACGTGCCTGGTTAATCTTAGCACAGCGTGCTGACCTCCTTCGTTCCCTCCGGTCCCCCGTGGCGTGGGCCACACTATTTAAATAGCATTGGCCAGGCGAGGAGATGAAACATGAACCGCATTTGTGCAACTCGGTTTTGAGCGATGCACGTGCTGCTCTTCAGGATCTTCACTAGCCGTGTAAGTGTATACGCAGGATGCAAGAAAAGAGGTTCAGGTAGAGTGTCAGTATTTTTTCCTTTATGCTCAGGAAATGGTCTCGTGGGTTTGTCCCAGAGCGGAATAGAGGCAGTAAAAATCTGATGCCTGTGTCACTAGCAGGGAAAAGTCTGAGGTGTGCCAGACGTATTGGTTTGCAGTGCAATCTGAGAGGGACAAATCATGTTAAAAAGTGAAATTTCATTTCCAAATACAACCAAATGGAATCTTCTGTTACACATTGGGTATTTAAAAGAGAGATCCTAGCCAAAAAGTGATAACAGTTCAGCAGAGGTAAGACATTGCTCAGCAGTGGCTGGAAAACCAATTCCTTTCTTGGTATTTGTTTTGTTTGGTTTAGTAGAAGAGACTGCCCTTCCCTCCATGAATGTGCAGATCCAAGATTGAAGGACTAAAATCTGTCTGCTGCTGGTTTAGAAGAAAACCAGTACTCAAGGAAAACATCTTTCCTGCTCAATAGATGGGATGGGGATACACTCTTTACTGCACTAGCTTACACCAGAAGCAGGGAAGTGTCCTGCTATAACAGTGCAGCAGCTCAGCACAAGCAGATTAGTTCTCCTGAGGGGGCAGATTCTGCGTTGATCTCGCTGCTACCACAACATGTTGTTACCTAGCACCGCAGCGAGTTGGTGGACAGGCAGGCTAGAGCTACCGCTGCTCTCAAAACTTTTCTTCAACAGATCAGATGCTCTCAGACAGACCGTTTCAGTGCTGACTTTGAGGACTGGCTGAACTGGAGTCCCATTTACATTCAAGACCCTATACAACCAGCCTTTTTTGCTGTGAAGATGATTTACTCATGTTTTCCAGGTGAAATCACTCCTGACACGTCAGAGCAACTGGCAGGAGGTGCAGAGGGTCTTAGTCACCACAGTGGACTATTCATTTTCAGACTGCCCACCTGTTTTTCTGGCATTACTCCTTTAATGGATGATCTTTCTGTTTAAAACACAAAACGCGTAGCGCAAATGTGTATTCCCAGTAACAAAGTCTTCAGCTTGTTTTCTTTCTAGAATAAGCTAAGAAAATGAGCATAGCAATCCAGGTCTACCACTTGCAGCCAAGAATGTCTTTCACTTCTTCTACAGCTTTACTGTTGTTATTTATAATTTAGTTGTGTTTTGAATTTTCCCCCGAGTGGGCTATTTCTTATCTTTTCTCTCCTTTGCTTTCTGAAGGCATCCAACTATAGAAAACCTGGCTTAAGTACAGCCCAGCGGAAGAAAAGTGGCTTGAAACCTGAACTTACAGAAGAGCAAAAGCAGGAGATCAGAGAAGCTTTTGATTTGTTTGATACTGATGGATCTGGAAGCATCGACGTAAAAGAACTGAAGGTTTTCAAACTTTTTTTTCTTGGAGTGAAATACTTTTGGTCTCAGAATTGTAGCTGCTTTTTCTGTTTGTCCAGCCCTAACTATTTTAAAATAGTTTTGGAGTCTGAGTAAGAGTAAGGGCTTGCTGCCATGACTGAATTTGAGGTGTACTAAATGGTTAACCTGAGAAAGCTCTGTATGTAATACTTCAGAGCAGACAGGCTTTTATAATACATGGCTAGTAGATCAGATAGCTTTGAATATCCCAAGCATATCCTTTGAATATCTGAGCATATCCTCTGTTTAGGTACACACAATACACATTTCAGTTTTCATGACTGGCTAAGATCACTGTTCCTGGGAAGTGGACTTCGTTCTAGGATGTCAGAATCTAAAATTTTTTTCTTCATCTCAGAACTAAGCACACAGATTTTACACACATTCAGGAAAGATACAACCATACAATCCAAAATGTACCTGGTTTCTAATTTAAAAAAGAACAAACCAGATATCCAAGTTGCATTTCAGTAGCAACTCAGCGTATGTGCATACACACTGTAGTATGAGAGTGAAGATTATTTTCAGTTCCGTCCCTGTGTTTTTATGTGTCTGATCTTTATTGAAATGTGAATCTTTTAATTATCTCCTTGACCTTGATCTCTCATATACATGCGCTCTGCCTCATTTTCTGCATATGTAACCAAGAAGTATGAGTTACCTAAGCCTGTGGCTTATCTCAGGATTTATTTAGAAGTACATACGCTTGGTTAAGGAGAACGTGTTGCCTGAATGCCGATTATACATGCTAGAACCTAGTTCTTAAAATGGACTGAAACGTTTCAGCATCAGCCATTCAATGCTATGTTTTTCTTTTTCAAAATGAATTTGAAATAATGGCTATTTTACAGTAGAAAGTGTTCCCCTCTGAAAGACAACATGGAACATTTTCAGTTGTCCCATTGCAAGAAACTGGTCAGAAAACACACTTCAGTTAAATGTTAAGTTTCTGGTGAGTTGGCACTTTCCAGTAGAAGAGTGTTTAGTGAAAAATTTCTGCTTAATATTAACTATTGATTTCCACTAAAGCACAGAGGAAAAACAAAATGTTTATAGTCTAAATCTTCCTCTAGTTATGTGTTCTTGAAACTTCAGTCTCTGAATTAAATATGCTGTAATCATCTGGCACACCAGGACTGTGAAATTACTAATAAACATCCAAGTAGCAAAATCGTTGTTCTAGGCTGGTGAAATGCCAGAGCCTGGTTTTAAACAATGTTAATATTAAGCATCTGTACAACCATCTACAGAGTTGTTTTTACAGTAACACTTTGCTTGTGCTCTGTAAGACTCAGAAAGTTCCCTTGTCTCTCCCTCAAGTAGTACAGCAGTCAGTCTTTGCTTTGCTGAGGCCGAGACACTCTCTCCCCCTCCCCACCACCTAGCCAGAAGTGCCAAGAGCTATGCATATGGATTTCTTCTGTGTACTGGATTGTGTAAACTAACTGCATGTAATCCTGCACCCATCAAAATTAATGGGCATTCTACCCTTAATGTCACATGGAGCTAGATCACATCCCTGGTCTCCAACCTCCCTTGAAGTCCCATTTTGATAATCCAGCCCCTCTAGGAACTACATGGATTGGAACCTTTACCTAACTCAGACACACAAAACTTCTATTAGTTTCAGAAATATATCCATGTTCTCCATGGATCTAAAGAGAATGTATGTCTGAGTCTTAAGAATATCAAACCTACGCTACTACTGTTTGGAATGATAAAACAAACTGGTGAGAGGTATCAAGATGTTTTCATTGCAGTGAGTTGTTATTACAGTTCTGGGTGAGGAAAACTAAACAAGCTTTAGTGGAGCTGCTGACACTATAGTTCTGGTGGCCTCCTAACAGAACTGCTTTTTGGCACAGGTTGCAATGCGTGCTTTAGGCTTTGAGCCAAAGAAGGAAGAAATTAAGAAAATGATAGCAGATATTGACAAAGAAGGAAGTGGCACCATTGACTTTGAAGATTTTTTGGCGATGATGACACAAAAAATGGTAGGAATTCTTAACAGGAATCCTTGTGACTGCATGAAAAAACACTGAAAAGGAGTATCTCAGTGGCAGGTGTTTTCAAATTAATGTATGTTTTACTCTTGTTTTAGAGTGAAAAGGATTCAAAAGAAGAAATCTTGAAAGCTTTCAGATTATTTGATGATGATGGGACCGGAAAAATTTCATTTAAAAACTTGAAAAGGGTTGCTAAGGAGCTGGGAGAAAATTTAACAGATGAAGAACTTCAGGTAATTTCTAATTTGCCAGAGCTTTTCAAACAGGCACAGACCCATCCTGTAGCTCCTAAGGACTGGGTGGAAATTTATGCCTATACAGAAAGGGCTGAGAGGTCAGAAATATGAAGAGCAATCAAATACATAATTTTGTTTTCACATGAAGTACTTCCGATTTGTTGTTTTAATGAATGGAAGATCTTGTGTTCAGAGTCCCATGCCTTATCAAATGTACAATGTGTTTTGTAGGAAATGATTGATGAAGCTGATCGAGATGGAGATGGAGAAGTGAGCGAGCAAGAATTTTTGAGAATAATGAAGAAAACTAGCTTATATTAATATGTGTTGCCTTAATATACATCTCCAAAAGATAACCTGGAAAAGACTTAAAATGGGGCTTGTGTCTCCTGCCTATTTTCTGCCATATAAAGTCTAAAAGGACCGATTTTGGTTCATTCTTCTTTTTCAGCAAAGTTAATTGTGGAAGGAGGGCTTCAGTGCCCAGAACTGTTAAAATGAGATACTGCAGAAGTGAAAAGGAAGGATGATTGAACCTGCAAGGCAGGGTCCCTTCCTCTCCCCCTTGGTAATTTCAGTGATTGCCAATTTGGATAAAGAAAGCTGTTTCAACTATTTAACTGAAAGACATTTCACTTGAGATGTGAAGATCCCCACTGCTGCTGGGAAAGGTCACTTTTGACTTTCCTAAGGCTACAGACTGGAGGTACAAGCACAGTATTTTTATTCCTTTTAAGGCTTTTGGGTTATCTTTTGGTATTTGTCTCCTTTTGTTTATTTCCGTGACAGACTCTGAAACCAACTGCAAAGCTGTCTTTATTTCTGTATGAAAAACTGTTTTGCCACAGCGAGTTGTTTTTGGACCTAGATAACTAGGTTTGGTTCCTCATTTGGAGCTGTGTGCCATCAGCAGATGTTCTTCTGTTTATCTGATCATCTGAAACCTGCTTTACTTGAATGTAGCCTGCTTGGATTATCAAAGTTTATTGTATAACCAGTCACCATCTTGTGCCATTGTTCTTACTCCCAAGAGTTATTACGGGGCTGCTGTTATGCCAGGATTTTAGGTATCTAAAAGTTCAGTTCTGTGGTGCATTGGGATAACTTTTTTGTCTTTGGCTGTTTACAGTGAAGTTGCAGGGAGGACTTGCATCTGAAGTGAAAAAATAGCTCACCCTGGATATATTTAGATCCATGAAATCCAAATTCATTTCAGACATCACAGGTTTGGGGTTGTTAGGGTTTTTTTTAGGAGTACCTTCATTTTCTTGAGTATTTCTTGCGTATACTGTCAATCTAAGTCTTACTGGAGAGGCACATTCCCTTCTGTATTAGGGTGACAGCAGTGACACACAACATCACATCCGATTATGTGATTCTGCAAGAGGGTTTTATCCTTGGGTCCTGATAAGACACAATCAGCTTCAGAACTGCAGGGAAATGGCATAATCCTACATCTCTCTATTAAGGCGCCTAAAACAGAGTTTGTTACTGCTTGTAGTGCAGTGGCAAGATGTCAGAAGGGTTCGATGGGAAAGAGCAGTGTTCCAGCAGTATCTGTGAAGATCCTTCTTGTCGTCAGACAGCGCTAAGGAGGTTTGCAGAAGAAAGGCAGAGCCAGCCCCTGGATTAGCTCCTCGCTGCAGCGGGGAGGGCCCAGCAGGGGGAGAATTCGTTTCAGGAGTGGAAAGGAGAGGTGTTCACTTACGAATCTTCTTGGTGTGTAGATGCAGACCTGGCACGTTCTGCCCCAGTCTCTGAACAACTCCAGACAGACCCTCTCTAACCTGCACAGAAGGAGGCTTAAACCTGTGGGAGAACAGGGACCTCAGTGAAGGACCCTGGAAAACTCAGACCTGTGAAGTTCCCTATTAACATATTCAGTGGCAGTAGATGTAACCTATAGTACTGTAAGCATTTTAAAATGTCTTATTGACTTTGTATATGTGTGAAATAAAACTGTTTTGCAAGTTAAGGACTTTGTATGCTTTATAACTTGGTGTGCTTACGATGAAAATTACATTTTCAAAAATAATTTTAAAGTGTTAAATGGTTCACCTAGTACATTTTCACTTTTGTTTATCTTTTCTTTCTAAGAGAGAAATTCTTAGGTGCATCAGTCATCAGATAATTCCTCTCCCTCTTCCACTATGCTGATTAAAAGTTTCTAGTACTAACCACTTACATTCAGGAAGGGAAATTTGAAGTTCTAGTTGATGATGGGGAATCCCAGAGCCTATTAGAGTGACTGTACTTTTTCTAATGCTGCCACAGGAAGAGATTGATACTGTTGTTTACTTATGATGCATGTCACTTCCCTCTTCTAATCCCATTACCTGACTTCTGAAGGTAGGAAAAAGATGCACAATCATACCTACCACATACACTACGATGATGAAACTCTATTTCTAGTTTGCCCATTAATCTCTTAAGTCTGGAATGGCAAGCAGCAGCTGAATTAGCACAAAATGTGCAAGTGTTAACGTAACAGAACAAGTGTCTCATGCTGCTTTGCTTCGCGGGATAGTGAGGGGATGTCGTCCCCTCCAGCCACAGGCACCAAGTGTGACAGCAGCAGCCCTCGGCAGTGCTGTGATTCTGCGTAAATTGTTTGTGGTGCCTTCGTGAATCCTTTCTGTCTCTTCTAGAATTTCATCTTTGACATTTCTGTACACGGTGGAGGAAAAGGAGCCTGAATGAAGCCAGTACCAGAACTCAGAGTTAGTTTTGTGTGAGGAACAGGGGCTGAACCGCCTGCTCAGGAATTTCATCCTTTCACTGTGCTGGAGAAAGTGTCTCAGATCAATGAAACGGTAACCAGCAGACATTTTTCCTGGGCTGTGTTCTAGTGCCTACTTGAGTAGCTTACCCTACATGGAGGGCTTTCACTAGAGGAGACAGATCACTTGCACCCCTTTCCTCTTCCTCCCATTCACTCTATTCTCAAAAATAAGTGCTGGGGCACTTCCTGGAGACTTGGGTGACTTGGGTTACCTCCCATGAAAGGACCCATCCCTCAAGGCACCTGAATCCAAGCCATCATCAGCGTTGGTGCTTACCAGCTGGCACCTGGTGTTAGAGGGGAGGGCTTCCAGTCCCAACCCTGCTTAATGTTCCCTACAGACTGACCTGGGCAGCTCTGGGAGGCAGATGGCTGTGAACCTTATCCTCTGCATCCCTCCTCCCCTTCAAGCCGACAGGGAGGCTGAGTACTTACCTGGCATTTGCAAACTCCCCTCTGATGGCTGCAATTCAGACACTGCAATATCAGCATCCAGCCAAGACCCTTCCTTTTGCGAGATCAGTTTTCAGTTTGAGTGTTCGTGCTAGTCAGATCCTGCACAAAAAGGAAAGTGGAACTGCAATTTGTACTTGCCAAGCACCTAAATAGCAAAGCATTGATAAGGGTGACAGCTGCTTGGGACATAATATTGCAGACGACTTCCAGTGAAAAATGTTTCTAAATGAAAGTGTACTGGGCTTTTAATAAAATACAAAATGATTTAATAGTTTTAATAAAATACAAAAAAGCGAAAGAAAAATATTTACTTACAGGTTATATTCCAAGGCATGCCAGTTGCATGGCAATTTTAAAGCTCTGCTGTTATCTCCCCTGTGTAACTAAGTTCTTTATCGTCTCTCAGCCCCACAGTAGAGTCCCACAGTAAAGTATATCTTCAGTTAGCTTTAGAAAAAAAAAAACCAAAACAAAACGTGACTAACTAGTGTGCAAGATGTTTTAAGTAATCTTCGCTGGCAACACTGGACTGTGGTGCTTTCTCCCCACATCACACTGAAAAGCAGATAAAGGCAGTGATATGTAAGGCCATTCCCTTCTTCGCAGTTATACCTGTGCTGGATGTGTGTAAAACAGCAGGCTGGCCAGGCACAGTGGATCGCAGAAGATTGGGGGAGTCTTGCATTGCTTGAGGTGCTCGTGCAGTTAACTGGTAATGAGTGTTACTCTCTCGCATCTCTAGTGAGTTTGTTTTCAGAGCAATAAGCACAGGGTCAACTTCAAACACTGCAGAAAAATAATGACTTCTTTTCAGGTAAGCCTGATCTTGATATTAAAAGAGGATGGGGGAAAGCAGCAGAAGAAACCTTGATATTTAAAAGAGGATGGGGGAAAGCAGCAGAAGAAACCCTTTGTGTACTTTCACATGCCAAGAATCTTAGTAACAGAGCCCAGACATTTCAATAAAGGAAGCATTTAATATTAAAATATTTAAATACATTATTTACAGTTTTGAAGAATAACTCACGTCCTGCAAACCGCTTGGTGAAGTCACACCACATATTTGAAATGTTAGGTGTTAGTTCCCTAAACCTCCCCACTGAGTTCACAGGAATCAAATATTGCCACACTGCATCTGCTTTTAAACACCCCTGGATAGCATAAGAAGATTTTGAGAAAGACTCAGGCAGTAGAAGTGCTCTGGGCCAGAATTCACCATTGCCACATTTGACACATGGAAATGCTGGCAGAACACATTCTTCTGACATGGGTTAAATCTTCCTGTGACCCCAACAAAAACCTCTACAGTACCATATCGCTTTTATCTATTCCATGCACTGGGTGCTAGTTTTGGCAATCTTTGCAAGAGTATTGGCATGATGTATTGCCTTTAGATGGTGCATATTTTGCAGACACCGCGATCCCAAAGTATCAGTGTTAAAGCCAAACCAGGACCATCGAGACCATCCAGGTATTGTTGCCAGTGGCCCCCCACTCATTCAGAATTTATTCTCCCCGCTACAGTTTGTTTGAAAAATATTTTTGTTTCCTTACACAGATAAAAACTAATGATGAGAAAAACACTGCTCCTGAGATGCTTCAAAACACGAGCTTTGTTTCAAACCCTAGTTACACATGCTAACAGAAAGGAGTTGCATCTGACACGTTTTACAAAAAAACAGGCAGGGAGAGTAAACAATCAGATAATCAGGGATGTTCTTCAAACACCCTTCAACACGAGTGACTGGGCAGGAACAACCCGCATGCCTCCTGGCACAGGGGAGCAAACAAACTGCTTGGTCTACAGGCTGTGATGCACCTTGCCACTTGAGCAAAGAAACCCTACGAGGGCAATTCTGCAAAGACAGCTTCCTTTTTGTCATATATATCAATCTAAATAGCGTAGCTGTGAGCGGACAGTTGCACTAAACAACAACACTGTATGCCAATGTCCAGCACAATTGGGCACACGCGCCTCTGAACTGCTCCAGTGAACAGGCAGCCGGAACTGCCCCTTCGCTACAGCCCGAAGTTTCTGTGAAAGTCACTGCTGAGCAGGCATAAAATTCTGCTTTCAGTGGGCATTGCACACTCTGCTTAACTATAGGATGCACTCCTAAATTTTTACATTAAGGAAAGGTGTACAAGTCTTTTCTCTCTCTCTTGTAAGGCAATAAAGGACTGATAGATCTGCGAGTGTGACAGTCTCGCTAGAGGGCATCCAGTTACTGATGTGTAAGATGAGTGATGATTATTTCCCTTCTCTGTGGCTTTTTAATGACGGTCGAAAGTAGGCTAACAAATATCATCCAGCTGGGGCTTGAAATATGTGGTTAGATACAGAATTACCTTTTTCTGAAAAGGGAACATAAGGCTTCTCACACAGCTCAAGTGCAAAATGCTGTAATTATTAGTTGGTTGTTCAAAGCTAAACCCCCAAACCACACCTTCTGAAACTCTCACTCTATCAATAACTACAGACATGCTCTCAAGGGAGCAGAGAACTGAACGTGCCTCTCGCACAGTCCCCCTGAGTGCTCTGACCGCTACTCTGTAGAGTTATTTTCTCTCCTTGGGAATATTGCTATCAAATGGAGCCACTTCAAGAAGAGAGACAGAGCCAGACCTGCTGCAGGATGCTTGTGGCCCTCCCTCAGGATGTGGGAAAGCTGGAATGGTGGCCTTGCTTTGAGTCAAGAGGAACAAGGATTTGAGAATTAGACTCTTGTCCCCAAGGTGAGTGTGTTGACCCTTAGGAGACTGTCTGCACCAGGAGGTGTCTTATTCCAATGGCCTTGTGGGGTGGAGTGTGACCAAGG